ATCTGTGAGGATAGCCCATATCAAAAAAACCAAAAACGACAAATGCTGGCAATGGTTTGGAGACTAAGAAACCCTCTTATATTCTTGGTGGGAATACAGACTGGTCTGGCCTCTATGAAAAGAAGTGCGGAGATTCCTCAAAAGACTAAAAATGGTTCTACCATAGAACCAAGCAATTCCACTCCTAGGAATCTACCCAAAGGACACAAAAATGCTAATTTGAAAGAAAACCTGCATTCCTATGTTTATAGCAGCACTATTTATAATAGCCAAGATATGGAAATAACCCAAATGCCCCAGAACAGATGAGTGGATCAAGAAGATGTGGCATATATAGATACAATTGAATTTTACTCAGTGATTAAAAAAGATAAACTCATGCCACTTGTAGCAACATGGATGGAGCCGGAAGGTATTATCCAAAGTGAAGTGAGCCAGAAGGGGAAAGATAAATACCAGATGGTGTCACTTATATGTGGAATATAGAGAAAGCAAACAAAGGATCAGACAAAGATAAACTTTAAAATTGATCCTTAAAAGCTGACCATAGATGTGAGGCATCCAGGAGGGGAGAGAGAAGAGGAGGGAGAGCAGGAAGAGAGAAAATGAGGTGACGAGAGCCCAGTGGACTATGGGTGGTTTGGTGATGGGAAAACTATGGTGACCACACTGAAGGGGAGAAAACCTATAGTTTTCTATAGGTTAACAAGGAGTTAAAATAGTGATATATCAGTAATAAAATAAATAAATAAATATGGGTAAAGAAAATGGTACTGGCGGGGGTGGGGGGAATGTAAAAGGCGTTAATGATAGAAACAACAATGGGTGTGCTTAGTGATTTTAAAAAATACTGAGCTAAAATACTGAGCAAAGGATGAAAAGGGAAATAAAGGAAAAGAAGATTTCCTAGTGTGGGTTGTCCCCTAAAACAAAACCTGAAATTAGGATTAGCTTATAGCCAGTTTCTTTGAAGAACTGATCTAGGGAACTGCAGTGAGAGATGGAAATGGGTGAAATGGGGTGATGGGGAGCCAATTTAAGGATCTATTATTTTACATGCTCATCATCACAATCCCACCAGGCACTCTCTGGGAAGCCCTGAACACATGCCCCACAACTGTCCACCTGAGGAATGGGAGAGGGAGTGTTATCTGATGGTTTCTAACCATCACCCATTAGCTAGAGGGTATTAGCTACTTTGTGAGTCCAGATTTGTGCCTGCATCAGAATACTGAGTGTATTCCCGGGGATATCCCATGTGGTGGCAACATAGACACCCCAAGGGGAAGGGAGGAAAGATGCATAAAACAGCTGAGGTGAACTGCTATCAGATTACACCTGTGTGCAACTGGTTGCCACAACAATAACTGGAATAAAATGGTGACGCGATATGCTTTAAGGCTGGTTACAGCTGTCTGATCAAAGTTCAAATAGGAAGCAAAAATAAGATGGTGGAAATGAATACAAATGCATCAGAATCCACAACAAAGGCAAAGAGGCTCAGCTCTTTAGTGGAAAGGTATCATCATCAGTCAAGATTCAAATACTAGTTCTGTGTTATTTACAAGAGACACTTTGAGCACTGGGACAAAGAAATGGTTGGTGAAATTTATAACATTGACCCAACCTCCTGTCTCCTGGATTGTTGCTCTCCTCGGCAGACCCTGCAAGGTCTAGTTGCGGGCAATCTTGGGTCACCTCTTCCCTCTGGACTTTGGAGAAATTAGAAATCTTTCTTTACAAAACAGGAAATTGATGCACAGGGAGGCAAAGGAAACTGTTCAAATTCACAAAAATTCATAGAGGTAGATGGGGGACAACATGCTGGATATATGAACTCCAAGTTCATTTCTCTCCGCTATACCAAAGGGGTTGACCAACATTTTTATGGAAGTGGTGAGATATTTTCACCTTTGCAGGTCACTAGATCTCTGCTGCTATCACTGCAAACCTGCATTGCAACACAAAAACAGTCCTAACCCACAGCTTAGTGAAAGGCCATAGTTATATTTCAATGCACCTTTATTTACAAAAACTGCCAGATGTGGCCCACAGGCAATGCATTATTTTCTCAGTTTTTCCAGAAATAATATCAAGCAACATCACTGTTCAGATCACACAGTCAAGAGAAAATCAGCCTTGTGTCTTCAGGACATTCAGGTTTCATCTCGTCATCTTGGCAAATGCGAGCCATTTCCTCCACCTCACTCCCATCCTGCCACAACAGAAGAAACAGGAGGAAAACAGAAAAAGGTGGCTGACAGTTCTTTTCCGATAGCCGTTTGAGCCATACCTTATTGCAACGGTCTCTGAAATTCCTTGGCAGGACGTGGTCCTGGTGGTCTTCAATGTGGGGAGTCATGCTAGGCAAAGAAGGGGTGTCACTTCAGTTAACAGCACTCATTTTGGTAATAAACTTCCTAGACCAACTGACCCCACTGCTTGGAGATGTCCCTTACCCCTTTTTAAGTCTGTTTTCCTGCATTCTACACAAATACAAAAGAGATCATCCATGCTAATAGACTATATATACATTTTTTCCTCTTTCACATTTGCCCAACTGTATGGAAACTTCCCCTTTTGTCATATATATATTTTCTAGTATTTCTACAAGGATCATCGATTTCTTTCTTAAGACAGAGAGAGAGTGGGAGGGAGAGAGAGATCAGTACTGCTAAGAAGTACTTTGTTATCCTCTTGCCACGAGCCTCTCTCTCTCTGGACACGACAAAGATGGTTTATGCTTGTTAAAATACAAAACTTGGCACTCTCAAAGTGAAAAAAGGACAGAATTTAATTTGTCCTTTGTAGTTCCTCTTTTTTATCCCTTTTGGTAACATTTCATTAACTCTGTGCTTTTCTCAAAAGTCACAGTGTATTATTCTTTGTTTTTGAAAAAACAAAACAAAACAAAGCAAAACCCAGAGCTAACAGCCTTTCTACAAAGAACAATAAGAAATGAACGGCCAAGGCTTGCAGTGATGATTATTATTATGAATCTTTGTGAGAAAATGTCATTGGGACTCTGCCATGCAATTGAATTCCTCTTCCAAATTTTATTGGCACTTATTGGGTCTGACAGTTTGATGAGAGAATTGTGGATTATTTAGAAGCTCTTCCATCAGTGATCGGATCCAGTTTGATAAAAAGCATTTATTGAGTGTTAGTTACAACCTCAGTAACTGTGAGAAGGAAGGAGAAAAATTAAATCTGCTGTCTTTCCTCCAGAAGGAGAGGAAAGAAGACATTCATGAAAGACATTCATCTTTTTATTCATTTAACCAAGATTAGTCCTCACTTGTTATACAAAGGAAAAAAAAAAAGGTACACATTATTGCAACGGAGACTTATTTAAATGGAGTTTCTCAACAGGGATGTGGAAATAGTGGGGAAATTCTTCCTGAGAAATGAAACTGAGCTAGATTCTAAAGGAGGAAAGAGAGAGTGGTTGATATAGTTACATCTGTGGCTTTGACATTGAAACAAATGTCAAAAGATGAACATTTATTTTCTCCTTAGAATGCCCCTCTTTTTCCAAAAAAAATTTTAAATTCCCAGCTTAAAAAAGATTACTCCTCTCTACACCACTGCTTTTAAGGCTTACTCTCTCTTCTCTTTCAAGCCTTTTGATATTAAAATAGTCAAATTTAATAATATTTCAACTCATACCTACATAACTTTATTCCCTGGCACACTTACTCTGCTATAATTTTTCTATATCTTCTTTTAAAAGATTTATTTATTTATACATACAAAAGCTGGCTGTAAGCCAGAGGTGTGGGAGGTGAGAGGATTCACCAGAGACAGAGTGGGGACCAGAAAAGGCAGATTGACTGAAATACACTGCTGAGGAGAGCATTGGGCAAGACAGGAGAGGTCTGCTATGCCATATGGGTTACCTGCCTGGCCAGGGATGGAACTATGGTGGCTTTGGTGGTTGGCAATAGCGTGATAGTGCTGAAACTTAACCCCTTGCACCACCAGGGAGGACCCTAACTTTTCTATTTCACCAGTACTTACCTACCTCCTTCTAACCTTCTATGAAATTTGTGTATTTTGTTTATTATCAATAATAATAAAATCCACCAGGATGCCATTGCATGAAAGGGATTTTTTTGTTAAGCTATGTCTAGCGCATAGTAGGTACTCAAATATATTTCACACATAAATAATGATTCACACAATAGAAGAGTTCACTATAGGACAAGAGTGAGTAAAGCATTGCAGCAGGGCATGCTGGGTAATGAAATTCACTTAATAGATAGGGTGGTGTCAGAGAGGCAGGCAAAGTGGTGAGCCATAGCCCTTAGAAAGGAGGACTTGTCCCAGTGAAAGTCAGCATGAGCTGCATCTATCAGCATGTCCTGCACCATAGAACTGTGAACCATGTAAATGGATTTCACCTTCAAATGTCAATTAAGACCAGTGGAAGCATCCTGCCAGTTGACAGTCTCTTGGTCTGGATAGTTATTGTTTTAGTCAAGGGTAAGATTTAAAAAAACACCTTAACAAAATTAAAATACAAGTTACAAGATGTTATAAGCACTCTTGCGACATTTACTAAAGACAAACCACAAATATCCTTGAGTTTTCCAGTGTACAGACAAAAGACAACACTAATACTGGAAAACAAAATGAGCAAAAGAAGTAAATTTCAGCAAATCACATAGAGATAGAAAGTTCAGTTTATCAGTATCCAAAGAAATACCAGTAATCAAAATCATGATATTCTGTTTTCTATAGTCAGATTTTAAAAATGGGGATTGCAAAATTGTTGCCCAGAAATGTTGTGCCATGTTATAGAAATTTTAGTTTTGGTAATCCTACAGATGGCATTTATTTCAAGGAAATCATTAAATAATTGAGGAAACCATTAATGTTTACTGCAGATTTGTTTAAAATGGAAACAAGGTGCATTCATACTTAATCAGCTATCACAATGGAAAGTGATATGCGATCTGTTGTCATTCTTGTATTTGAATTCCAGCTCCAGCTCTTCCAAGCTGTGTGGCTTTGGATATGTTAATCCTTCTACACAATCTACAGAAATGAGCCATGAAAGAACATCTACTATTTTAAGAGAGAGAAGAAATACACTGTGAGTGTGCATTACCGATTCCCATGGTAAAGATGTCAGTAGAGGTACATCTGAGCAAGCAGGTAGAGTTCAGGACTTAAAGGGTGTTTGTTGACCATAGGAAACAGTAGAGGGATTCTAGGCAAGGAAATCCCCTGATCATGTATACAATTATATGATTTTGTAAAGATCACTTTGGTAGATTTGTGGAGGTTTGGCCAAAGGAGGAGATCCTAGACAATGCCTCAGTTGGGAAATTGTCATCACCATCAGGCCACTGGACATGAGGATGATGAAAAATTCTGTCCTTTCTCACTCTAATTCTGTCCTCACTGCCTTTCCCATCAATGTTGATAAACAATGGGGCTGGGGAATGAGGGCTTGTGTGGGCATGAGAGGAACATACAGAGATGTTGAAATGATCCAGTGACATCGGATTATTTGTGCAAAAACCCACCTCTCTCTCTTTGATTGGAATCATAAAGGCAGTTGGGGTTCAGTTTCATATCACACAGGATAACAACCTAGGTAATTTAGACACCAGTCCTAGGCAAGCACATGCTGGTGTTTTCATGTTTGTTTTCTTTTTTAACTACTTAGCAAGAAAGAATTCATTTTTATGCTTTTCAATCTCTGTGCAGAGATCAAGAGAGCCAGCGTGGTTCAAGCAGTGGTCAGAGACAACTTATGGATCTTTTACTGCCAAGGGAATGTCAATGCATGATTAGTAAGCCAGAGCCAGAACTTCAAGTTCAGAAGTGTGTGTGTGTGTGTGTGTGTGTTTGGGTGAAGGCGGGAAGAGAGAGAGGAAGGAAGGAGGTAGTAATTAAAGAGAGAGTGAAAGAAGAGCCCCAGAAGGAAAACTGTGTGTAAGACCAACTTCAGAAGTCAACAGAGCCACTTCCTGTAGCTCTGCGTCCCACTGTAGTTATCACTCACAGAGAACAATATTCAGTAGTCTTTTTGATCAGTTGCTGAGGCTTCAAAATGTGCCTTTGAAACAAGAAGCACCATCTGGAGAAAATGACTTCCAGCCCACCCAAAGGCCCCACAGGCTGAGCGCAAGCTCTGGAGTCGGATGTCCTAACTCGCCATGTCACTGCATTACTCGCTTCTCTGGGTGAGCCCCCATGAAGCAGTTGGCCTAGGATGCCCCAGAGCACTGAGTCTATTTCAGCAGACTTTGTTGCACAGAAGGGAATATGGTTTCTATGTTTCTGCTCTGGGGTTTCTGGATTTAATTAAGGGAATATGGCGAGTCAGGTACAAATTAAATTACTCCTTACCACAACTCCAGTTTCCCTGTCTCCTCATTCTCCTCTCTCCTCCTCCTTACAACTCACCTCCTACGTAGTGTAGGGGTGACTTGGGAAGCTTGTAAATTGGGATTAGGTTGGTGCAAGTGACAAAGGTGACTAAACAACTTAGATATCTCTCTCGTCTCAGGGAGTTCCGTACAGTCCATGGGAACCCATGTTTTTCTCAGCTCATCAGTTCATGACTCTGAGAATGAAACCTCATTCTCATGATCAAGTTCATCATATCTGAAGCTCTCAGTATCAAGATGGAAGGAGAGAAAGAAAAAATAAAGGGTAAATGTCACATGTCCACAATCTTTTAAAGACAGCTTAGAAGCAGCTTCACTCACATATCATTGACCAGAATATAAACATATTTTTTACACTAAAATGTAAGGAAAACTGGGAAAGGAAGACTCAGTCAAAAATCCAAGATATTCTGAGAAAGAAAGGAAAGGGAAGAAAGGAGTATGTTTAAAGATAAGTTAGCTCTCAACATGCCATCATAGAAGCAGGGTAATGACAACGATGCCCAACTCCAAAACTGGGAGAATGGGAAAGGCAGCAATCCTGTTTCATAACAAGCTCAACCCAGTCTCTCCCATAAGCCAAGCGTGCTCTGGAAAAGAAGAACTTTCCTCTGTTGGAGAACGTTCCTGGTACTGGGCTCTGGGAGGGACATCCTCATCCATTGTCACCCATAGCCCCTGGTCCCCGGTTTGTCCTTGTATGTGATCATCCGAAGGTTGGCTGGGGAACCACTGCCCTTGAGAGAATGACATCCTTGTGGGTTGTTCAGCTTTCCAGACCCATTTTTGCTAATGCTAGCTCAGGGGAACATGGGTTGTTATATATTAATAGCCACAGGCTTTTGCAGGATGGATTCAGGGTGTTGTCAATACTATTAACTTTAAAAACAGTAAGGTTTTGGAGTACTTGCTTTCAGTTAATTTTAACTGCGAGTAACCAAACCAAAGAGCTTGCCCTAAGCTAGTGTTTGGGCCTGATGTTTTTGTTTACAGGCCAGTGTTTGCTCATCGGGGTGCAACTCTGGATGCTGCTTTGAAGCATTTGAAATGAGGGGCCCATGAGAGAGGAGGCACCTTCCTTCCCACTTTGCCAACAGGTTCCTGGTCTTTCTATGGCAAAGCAGCAGCCCAGTCTTCTGCTAAACATCCGAAGTCACCCCATAAGATGGCTTCTGCTTGGGCTGCAATAGCAGAAGTCTTTTCTATCTTTAAGACTCCAACCTACAGAACATGGCAGCCTGCAGAACAGGACTCCACACTCGGAGCTGCCTTCCCTTTCCTGTGTCAGCAGACGGGGTCGGTACCCAAGTTCATGTATCTCCAGTAGAACTTGGCTAAAAGTGGAACACAATAGTCCATCGAGGTCACTATTCTGAAAATTTCAGACCATTTGCGCTCAGAAGACAAACTCACTCAGCTCGTGGCTTGCCTTTAAGCTCTAGCAGGTAACAGTCTGAGCAAATATATCACTGCTACTCTACTTGGATTACAAACTTTTCACCACCAAACAGACTTCTTGTCTGTTTCATCATTTCTTCTTCTAAGCTGATGTCATTGTGGGTGTTGGTCTTATAACTTAGCACTTCCAGGAGTTAAGTTCTGCATCAGATAGGAGTAGCTTAGGTGTGGTTTAAGCAAGGTGGAAATTTATTTCTCAGTTAGGGAGCTAGACTTTTTTCCAGCTCCTAGATACACCATCCCTTATCCTTAAGGTTTAAGGCTAAGGCCAGAATTCCAATTATGTGTCCCAGTTCCAGGTAAGGAGTTGGAGGAAGGGAAAAGAGGAAAAGAAGACTAAGGGCACAAGGGAGGTGTCTTTGAAAGGGGCTTCTTAGAGCATCTACTGACATCTGAATGGGCAGATGAAGTTGTATGGGGGGCTCAGGAATTGGTCTTTATTCTAACTGGGGGAATGCCCAGCTGGAATCAAAGGTTCTATTACAAAGTTACTAGTATTAAGGTAAAAGGAGCACATGAATGTTGCCCTAGCAGCATCAGCCATTTGTCATACCTATTTTAAATCAATTTCACACAGAAAAAATGGGAATATGAATTGGTCAAATGTCAGAAGAGGGCAACTTAGCAATATTTACTTAAATGTAAAGTGAGTAAATTCTTTAACTAAGAGATCCACTTTTAGGAGTTTATGTGAGGAAAATACAGAATATCCTCACATACTGACATGAAAATCAGTATTTTAATGATGTCAGTTCTTAAATTAACCTATAAGATAATGGAAAAATAGAATTTATTTATTTATTTATTTTTTTAATAATAAATTTTATTTTTATATTCCCCATACAATTTCAACCCCCCCAATTTTGACACCAATCCCTCCCCTCCCTCCACCCACCCCCCCAAAAGTGTCTCTGGTTCATAGATTTTTGTTGATTTTGATTTTCACTTTCTTATAGTTATTCATTTTCCTGGTCCCTTATTTAAGTTTTCTAGATTCCTGCTATGAGTGAGACCATCCGGTATTTTTCTTTTTCTTTCTGGCTTATTTCACTGAGCATGATCCCTTCCAGCGCCATCCATGTTGCTGCAAATTGCATGTGTTTATCTTTTTTGAATGCTGAGTAATATTCCATGGTGTATATGTACCACATCTTCTTGATCCAGTCATCTATTTTTGGGCATTTGGGCTGTTTCCAAAGCTTAGCTATTGTAAATAGTGCTGCTATAAACATAGGGGTGCAGGTGCTCTTTGGAATTGATGTTTCTGTGTCCTTTGGGTAAATACCTAGGAGTGGAATTGCTGGATCATATGGAAGCTCTATGTTTAGTAGGTCCAGAAATCTCCACACAGCTCTCCATAGTGGTTGGACCAGTTTGCACTCCCACCAACAGTGCAGAAGAGTTCCTTTTTCTCCACACCCTCGCCAACATTTGTTGTTGCTAGTTTTTTTAATATGTGCCATTCTCACTGGTGTAAGATGGTATCTCATGGTAGTTTTGATTTGCATTTCCCTGATAACAAGTGATGTTGAACATTTTTTTTCATATGCCTGTTGGCCATTTGCATTTCCTCTTCAGAGAAGTTTCTTTTTAGCTCTTCTGCCCATTTTTTGACTGGATTATTTTCTTTGTTGTTGTTGAGTCTCATCAGCTCTTTGCAGATTTTTGTGATCAATCCTTTATCATTAGTGTTGTGTGCAAAAATGTTCTCCCAGTTGGTGGGGTTTCTCTTTGTTTTTGTTATTGTCTCTTTTGCTGTGCAGAAGCTCTTTAATTTGATGTAGTCCCAGCTGTTTATCTTTGCCTTCACTATCACTGCTTTGGGTGATGTGTCTGTAAAGATGTCTTTGATGTGCAAATCACGTAGTGTTTCGCCTATATTTCCTTCTATGTATTTTATGGTTTCAGGTTTTATGTGTAGTTCTTTAATCCATTTTGAGTTGGTTTTTGTGTATGGTGTGAGGTAGTGGTCAAGCTTCATTCTTTTGCATGTAGCGGCCCAGTTTTCCCAGCACCATTTATTGAACAGACTTTCTTAGCTCCAATGCATAGTCTTTGCTCCTTTGTCAAATATTAGTTGACCATAAATCTGTGGGTTTATTTCTGGATTTTCTATTCAATTCCATTGGTCTGTGTGTCTGTTCTTGTTCCAATACCATGCAGTTTTGATGATTATGGCTTTGTAGTATAGCCTGAAATCTGGGAGTGTGATGTCTCCATTCCCTTCTTTTTTTTTCAGGAGAGCTTTGGCTATTCGGGGTTTTTGGTGATTCCATATGAATTTCATCAATAATTGTTCTATTTCTTTGAAGAATAACATTGAAATTTTTATTGGAATAGCATTGAATCGGTATATTGCTTTTGGTAGGATGGCCATTTTAATAATGTTTATTCTTCCAATCCATGAGCAGGGGATGTCTTTCCATTTCTTTGTATCTTCTTCTATTTCTTTTAACAGTGTTTTATAGTTTTCTTTGTAAAGGTCCTTTACCTCTTTTGTTAGATTTATTCCCAAGTATTTGATTTTTTTTGTTTTGATAATAAAGGGGATTTTTTTTTCATTTCTTCTTCTTCAGATTTATTGTTAGTGTATAGGAAGGCTTCTGACTTTTGCATGTTGATTTTGTATCCTGCCACTTTGCTGAACTGATTGATGAGTTCAATTAGTTTTTCTATGGAGTTTTTGGGGTTCTCTATGTATATTATCATATCATCTGCAAATAGTGATAGTTTGACTTCTTCTTTTCCTATTTGGATTCCTTGGATGTCTTTCTCTTGTCTTATTGCTCTGGCTAGGACTTCCAGTATTATATTGAAAAGCAGTGGTGAGAGTGGACATCCTTGTCTTGTTCCAGATCTTAATGGAAATGCTTTCAGCTTTTCACCATTGAGAATGATACTGGCTGTTGGCTTGTCGTATATGGCCTTTATGATGCTGAGGTACGTTCCTTGTATCCCAAGAATTTCAAGGGCTTTTATCGTGAATGGGTGTTGCACTTTGTCAAAAGCTTTCTCGGCATCTATTGATATTATCATATGGTTTTTATATTTCTTTTTGTTGATGTGTTGGATAACGTGGATTGATTTTCAGATGTTGAACCATCCTTGTGTCCCTGGAATGAATCCTACTTGGTCGTGGTGAATTACCTTATGGATACACTGTTGGATTCTGATAGCTAAAATTTTATTGAGGATTTTTGCATCAGTGTTCATTAGGGAGACTGGCCTATAGTTTTCTTTTTTTGTGTTGTCCTTGTTCGGTTTTGGTATTAGTGTAATGTTGGCTTCATAGAACGTGTTTGGTATTGTCCCTTCCTTCTCAATTTTTTGGAAGAGTTTGTGAAGGATAGGCACCAATTCGTCTCTGAATGTTTGGTAGAATTCATTTGTAAATCCATCAGGTCCTGGGCTTTTGTTTTGGGGGAGGTTTTTGATTACCATTTCAATTTCGCTAATTGTAATTGGTCTGTTTAGGTGTTCTATTTCTTCTTTATCTAGCTTTGGGTGATTGTAGAGTTGTAGGAATTTGTCCATCTCCTCTAGATTGTTAAACTTGTTTCCATATAACTGTTCATAGTAGTTATTAATTATTCTTTTGATTTCTGCTGTGTCCGTTGTGATTTCTCCTCTTTCATTTATTAACCTATTTATTTGTGCTTTCTCCCTTTTTGCCCTTGTGAGCCTGGCTAGGGGTTTA